CCTAAACCCTAAACCCCTAAGGTGTGATCTGCATTGCTCTGAGGTGCCGGGATGGCATCGAAGAAGAAGCGCCGTGGCTCACCAGGCGAAGCAGTACCAGGGGCAAAGTCCTGAATTAGGGTCTCGGGTGTAGGGACAGGGTTTAGGGTTTAGGGACAGGGTTTAGGGTTTAGGGTTTAGGGTTTAGGGTTTAGGGTTTAGGGTTTAGGGTGTCAGATCCTTCCGATTCCAACGTCAAAGGTCCTATGGGCTTCGCTGTCCTAAATCCTAAACCCTAAACCCTATGTCAGTGCTTTTGAAGCCCAGAAAGCATCCACCGACCGGCAACATGTGAAGCTTCATGTCGTGACTGAAGACAGCAAGTTCGAGAGTCCTGGTCTGGCACCGATGCCGAAAAAACCGGAAGTAGCGGATCCTGGAAATGTTTTAGGGTTTGGGACTCTACATTAGGGTTTCTATCTTTAGGTCCACGGAGTAGCTACGGCACCTTATTCCAAAAAAGACCCTAATTACGAGGGATCCTGATTTAGAGAGCTACCCATTTGGCTGCAGGAAGCTGAAAGGCGCGTACGATGAGCATTCCAAGGGTTTAGGGTTTAGCTCCGATGATGAAACAGCGCATAACGAACTGGCCCGCAGCATCAACGGAGCCTGCAGCACAAACAGAGCACATTCCATGCACAAACGATCCACAGTACTGGAAACTGTCTGTATGTCTGTACTCTTTAAGAAGTTTGCGACCACAAGCTACATTTGACGACACATTGGGTTGCCCACGCGACAGGCAGCACAGGCCATGAACGATTGAAGTATGTTTGGCAACTCAATCGTCCTCCACCTCACTCAGAATCCCCTGCACAGGCAGCTGAGTTCTGCTTTGGCCGGCAGCTTGAAAGGCAACGTAGCAGTCCGCGCCTGGCCTGTCAAGCAGTCAGGGTCAGTCTGCGGATTTAGGAGTATGTTCCCAGAGTCCTACACGATCAACCGCAAGGGGCCAGCAAGTAGTCATGGACGACCCTTGATGCATGCTGCATGCAAGTGCCATGCTCATCACCATGGGGTATTCAGTAGTGAGAACCATCGTGCCCATCCCACGAACAGCAGTCTTGTGGACCAGAGTGTTCACGGCAAAAGCACCCACCATCCTAAACACTGCAATTCTCCTTCAACGAACCCTCAACCCTAAACCCCAATTACAAGCCCTGAACCCCAAACCCCCAAACCCTAAACAGTATAAACCCGATAAGCCCTAAACCCGAAACCCTAAACCCTACCTTCAAGAAGCACTGCAATTCGTCCCCACGGCGCGAACCCCGAACCCTGATAAGTCCACAAAGACCAGCTTTGCTTCCGGAAGCCAAAGCCCGACAACCCAAAACCCCGAATCCCGCAGCCTAAATCCTAACCCTTAAATCCCAAAATTAGGGTTTAGGGCTTAGGGGTTTAGGATTTAGGGTTTAGGATCCTAAACCCTAATCAAAGCCCAAACATCCCAAAACGAAAAAGCCCTATAGACATCAACTATTGCAGCCGTTGTTCGGGAGCTCCGTCGCATCGCCGGGAATCAGGGCCACACGGCTCTCCAGGGGCGAAGATCCGAAGTCTGAGCCTAAGTTGAAGGGGTTGGTGTTTGGGGCTTGGGGTTTAGGGGCCATCTGAGCTCTATAATGTATAGGGTTCGGGGTTTGGGGTTTAGGGTTTGGGGGCCATCTGAACTCTATAATGTAGGGTCTGGGATTTAGGGTTTAGGGGTCATCTGAACTCTATAATGTAGGGTTCGGGGTTTAGCGCTTATAGGGTTTAGGGGCCATCTGAACTCTATATATACTGTAGGTTTTGGGGTTTAGGGTTTATAGGGTTTAGGGAATCATGAGTAACAGTGTCCCCGTATAGTCCCCATATCACCAATGCGTGGCAACATACACCCAAAATCCTTTATCTGAACTGCACGAACCCTTAACTTCTAAATCCGAAGCCCCTGAACCCTAACACCTAAACACTACACCCAAAATCCTAAACCCTAAACCCTAAAGTCTAAGCTCTAAACCGAGCCAGAGACCAGAGATACCCTGACGAGCCGCAATTTAAAGTACGGGGCTCATCCTCCGCAACAAAGGCGCTTCTCTGGAGGTTTAGGGTTTAGGGTTTAGGGTTAGTGTGGGAGGTGTTCAAGGTTTAGGGGTTTAGGGCTTTAGGGCTTCAGGGCCGTGGGCAAACACTTGCAACCTAACATGTCCTTTGGCTTTCGGGGTTTAAGGGGTTTAGGGGCTTCGAGCTTTCGAGCTTTAGGGTTCGGGGTTTGGGGACGAGGGTCCAAAAACTTGCGCTCGTTCGATTTACTGCCGAACATCTGTTCTGACATTTGCGGAAGCAGCAACTCGAGGATTAATATCCACGCTTCATGCACTCGAACCGGACTTTCGGCGAAAGACAGATCGGTACTCAATGCACTTTCCGGCGGCTTGAAACAAAAACTTTTGCAAATTATTCGGAAGTCTTCGTGTCCAAGAAAATGACAGCACCCCAAAGGGCACATACAACCCCAGCTTGCGCCCTGATTATAGGGGCCTTTAACAAATAGGGGCCTCACGATACTACACCCCACATGGACGAAACAAGGGGTACGGTTACCAATGATTCAGAGCTCTAAGTCTGTAGCCCCGTATCAGTCCTCCAGGGGCATCTTTGGCCTCTGGTAGCCCGGCAACATCGCATAAAGGTCCATGGGCGTGACGCCCAGCGCCTGGGTGTTGTCAGGCTTAATCGCTGTTCTCCGGCTCAATAGGGTTTATCGATGTTTATCGGGTTTGGTAGAGCCTATCGGAGAACTTGACAGAATGGGGCCCAGGAAGCTAGGAATTGGTTTGCGGAAGGCGCCATCACGCCGACAGCAGCTGTGATCAATGATTAAACAGCTGGGACTGGGCAGTCTCGCACCAGGGTGTAGACAACTCAGCTACAGCATCACCAACAGCTGTGGCGCGCGATAAGAATCCGAACTCTGAGATCATGTTGCAACCATCTGATCTATGCCGCACTTTTTGCCCCTCGAGTTCCGGTACCTTGAGGTACTCCGCTTTGACATAGCTTGTCCATGAAGGATTACCAACCAATGGTGGCGTCGGGTCGTCGTCCACCTGCAGACAGTTCCACTGCGGCCAGGCTAAGACGCCGGCGTGCTGAAGAATCGGTGGGCAACCCTAAACCCCAAAACCTGAACCTAAACCCCAAACCTGAACCCTACTTGAACCCTAAACCCTAAACACAAATAAACCTGAAACCCTAAAGCCCTGAAGCTCCAAAAGCCCTAATCCAGCCTAGACCCTGAAACCACTCTGCCTCGTTCGCTGCGAACGCGCAGAATTGCGGGCGTCCGCACCACTCGATGCAATTGCGCTCGTCGTCGCCTCACCGTCAACGAAGAGCGATCACGTAGAGCTGGGATCGCGATGAAGGTGTCTTTTTAGGGTTAAGGGTTTAATTAGGGTTGATGGTTTAAGGGTTTCATACGGGTTTAAGGGTTTTAAGCCTTTTGAGACTAGGGCTTTGGGCTTTGGGCAAAGGGTTTAGGATGAGCGGAGAAATGTGTTGGAGGTGTAATGCGCGCAGAGGCTGCAAGCAGGCATGGCATCGCATGAGAGCTACCATGCATCTTCGCTGGTCGTTGCAGAGCAGCGCTTGACATGCAAGCACTGCCACCGCCCTCCCAGGCCTGTGTAGCGCATGTATCCGGCGCAAAGGTTCTCGCCGTCGCAGATGTCCCTGCCACGACAGCTCCAGAGATACTTCTGCGCCCTACGGCAGCCTGTATGATCTGACCGGTGTGCTGGCCTCGCTTGACCCAAAGGTTCCTAAGTACCCATGTAGTATATAATGGAAAGTAGGGCTTCTATAATAATAGGACCTATACTAGTATGGTTTGGGTAAGTATCCCCATCTTGGTACTTGCGACCCTTTGGGTGATCAAAAGTGATAACTGTTGCCTACCTCAGCACCACAGTTCTAGTCAAGACCACATTAGTCAAAGTATAGGATCAGGCTGCAAGGTTCAGGGTTTATAAGCCCTAAACCCAAAACCCCAGACCCTACACCTGAACCCCAAACCATACACCCTAAGCCAAACCTAAACCCTAAACACCCCGAGCCTTCAACCCTAAGCCAAGAACCCATGGATCCCTGGGGTTCTATCTCTTTGGACGGTCTCGATCCTGGCATCCTTCTCCAACTCATCGCTCCACTTCACAGCCACGTCGCCAATGGGCAACTGGCCTTGGAGCCTGGGTTTGGGGTTTATTTAGGGTTCAGGGTTTGGGGTTCAGGAGAAAAAAATCCCCAAATGGTTATGGGGGATACCTTCCCAAATCATAAATAGGCTTCTCAACATAGAAACCCCTGCATTCCTACATTCTACTATTTATAGGTACTGTGGACCCCTTTGGGAATAGGGTTGATAGTTTAGAGTTTAGGGCGGGCTTGGGGCTTTACTACAGTAGTGCCAGTGTCGGTTGTTTGTTACAATGGTTTTTCTGCAAATTGCGCTAGTGATGTGGGCAGTAGGAGGAAGCAGGCTAATCATGACTTTGAGTGTGCCTCGAGTGAACTACGGCTCGCTATACGCCTCTTTCTGCCTACCCGCGACTTTGCATCACTCTGTGCGCCCCGTTGCAGGGCCCCTTCTAGATGATTTCGCGATCCAAAATGGGCTGATAGAGCTTTGAAAAGTGAGAACCATGACCGTTCAAAGTTTAGGACTGGGCACCTCCAATCGTCACATTCTACAATAGACCGTAATACAAACATACTACGCTGTACCCGACTAGACTATGCTATACTTTAAAGTTATTGTACTATACTCCAGTATACCATACTTTACTATGCTGTACTATGATGCCACATAAGACAATGCAGTATAATATAATGCCCCTAAACCCTGAACCCATGACCCACATCAGCCTGGTGGCTCCAGACAACGCACACTTCTCAGTTCCACGAAGTGGCCTCCAGCGAAAGTTGGGCAAGTGCTGCTCTGGGCAACTGGCTTTTAATACGATCGGCTAAGGCTATAAGGCTTAGTTTCGGGCTTAGGGTTTAAGGTTTAGGGTTTACGTTTTTGGGGTTTCGGGTTTGGGGTTGAGGGCGTGTACGCTTGCAGGAATCAAAAGCTGCCGGCACGGAGGCTAAACCTAAACGCGAAGCCCTAGAACTCCTATAAGCACCCGGCACTACGGGCCCTGCGTTTAAAGCCTAATCCCTAAACCCAGACCCTAAACCCTAAACCCTAAACCCTAAACCCCTAAACCCTAAACCCTAAACCCTAAACCCCTAAACCCTAAACTCAGACCCTAAACCCTAATCCCACAGCCGAGTTGCCACAGGACAGGCACACGCAGGCTGCAAACGCCAGGGCAGCGCGCCGTGGCGGCATCTAAAAAAGGGGCCTTAAGGGTTTGCTTTAGTGAGGTCTTAAAGGGTTTAGGGTTTAGGGTTCAGGGTTTAGTGAGGTCTATGGGGTCTCTATAAGAGCTTATAGGGTTTAGGGTTCTTTGAGGGTTCTATTAGGGCTTTTATCCAGGGTTTGTGACGATAGGGGTTGCCCTAAACAGCAGTATTTCCAAATATGCAAGCTTCTGTATTCTGTCGTCATGTCGAGACGAGTTTAAGTGGTGTCAGGATCTATAGGGGTGTAGGACGGTTGTATAAAGGTCCAGGGAGGGTAGTGGTTTGGAAGGGCTAGGACCTAGGAAATTTGAACTCTTTGCAATTGAAGCTCTTGTTTCTGCAACATGTGGTTATCTTAAAGCTACTCCAAATTGCGCCCGAAATCCTTATTTCTCTCGGGACTCCTCTCTCTCTCTGCTTCGGGATCATCGCTCTTATCGGCGGACATCCCGGCTTGAATTTTGAATACGAGTTCCTGCTGAATGATACAACCATACCTTATATACTGATCATGTCCATACTGGCAAATGGCTGAACATCCGTCAGGCTGAGCCAGGCATGCCCCACATGTCGGATGCAAGCAGCTCTCGCAACTACTCTACCAAAGCTTGCCGACCACAATGCCTTCACCTCCACCACAACACTCACCTTTAACCCTAAACCCTAAACCCCTAAAGCCCGAAACTCCTGAACCCCTGAACCCTTAAGCTCTAAACCCTAAACCACCAAGCACAACTGCAGTTCTAGAGAGCCCCCCAACCCATCATACCGGACACGACCCCAAACCCTTCACAAAGCTATGTGCCATAGTGACTATCAAGGGGGAGGCATCGCAGAACCCTTCGAAAGCTCATTGATCTTTCCAGAAATGAACACGAAACTTGTCAGGCACAAAACTTTTTGATCCCGAAGCCTCAACCCCAAACAACCTCCGCGAGCCCCATAGTGCCCCTGAAGCCTAAATTGCAACTATCGTGCTCAATACTTTTTCCCCTAATACAGGAACCCGATTAATAAGCTATAGCCCCAAAATATTAGGATTCATATAAAGAATATCCACATAAGGACCCTGGGGTCCGTATCAGGCTCCTATATTAAACTTGAACCCAAACCCTAAACCCCAAACCCTAAACCCTAAATCCCTATGGATATACCTTAGAGGAATTCTTAAAGGAAGCCTTAAAAGGAAATGTTAAACGAACCCTTAATGGATCCCTTACTAGGAGATACGATTAGGGGGACCCTTGGAGCAAAAGACCCTCGCAATAAGGTCCCTTTTAAGAGAGCCATGAGTAGAGTTAAGAAGGCCCCCATGAAGGGGTCTCCCTAACACTACCCCTAGGCCCTAAGCCCTTAACCCTTAACCCTAAACCCAAAGCCCTACAGACCCTTAACCCTAAACCCTAAATCCTAAACCCTTAACCCTAAATCCCAAACCCTAAGCACAAAATCCTAAACCCTAAATTCCAAACCCTAAGCCCTAATCCCTCAATGTCTCCCTTTTCGGGTTCCTGTCCGTTTATGAAAGCATCCCTCAGCTCCCGGCACAGCAACGGGAGTCTCAGGTACTGACATCCTTCGGCGCGTTGAAGGCTTTAGGGTTTCGGGCGTAGGGTCTAGGGTCCAGGGTTTAGGGTTTAGGGTCTAGGGTTTAGGGTCTAGGATTTAGGGTTTAGGGTTTGGGGCTTTATGGCTTTGGGGGTTGAGGAATTCAGGACTTCAGGGTTTAGGGTCTGAGGGCTTTAGGTATGGGTTTGGGGTGGTGGGCTCCGTGACTTCATGGCTTTATGGCTTCAGGGTGAAGGGCGTTTAGCTAGCTGGGCGCTTGGGGCAGAGTTGTCTGAAAGTCTTGAAATCCTAAACCCTAAAGACCCAAAACACAAAGTTAGCGTGTACCAAAGCGAAGGACGCTAACCATCTCAGCCCGGGAGGACTAGCGTTAATGTAGAAGCCTTAATGGTTTCAATAGCATTGACAGGTTTCTCTGGGTAGTTCTTTAGATTCAGGTCATTAGGGTCCCTTTGTAGGCACCAAAATCAAGCCGACCCGTATAAAGGGTCCTAACAGGGACCCTAATTTAGATAACTACCCGTTATATTGAAGTGTAAGTATAGATCAGGAACTTAAGAAGATAGTCTTCCTAATTATTCAAGGCCCCTATACTAGACCCATGCCATGTGTGCAATACGAGTCTGCGAGGTGCCCCTGTTCCTCTAACTCCTTCGAGTTCGCGAAGCTTGTGAAGCCTCAGCCTCTTCAAATCCTGTCATGGCCTTTTACAGCCTTTCAAAGATGGACACGGTGAGACATCTTGCCTTGGCTTACAACGAGGCAAACTCGACATTCTGCTCGTGTTATGCCATCCTAGTCAGTTCTCCTTGTGCATTCGGCAGCGGCAGTGGCCAACATATGCGCCCTGTGTGCGCTAACACACCCGTCGTGAGAAGTGTCTACAGCTGGTCACTACATTCGGAACTGCACGTGTTCCTGCTATGAAAGCTAGAAGCATATCTGAGTGAGTCATTGCTCCAACCGACTCTAACCGTAACCCAAAAGGCATCCCACAGCATTCTAGACCCGAAAAGATTTCTGGACAGTAGCCGACAGAGGTCACCCTTGACCTTCCACGGCAAGATGCTGGAGAGGAAGTAAGGTGCCCCCGTGTAATGTAGGGGCCTTAATAAGTAGAATAGGGTTTTGGGAGTTCCTTACTATAATTATAGTATAAGATACCCCCAAACCCTATTCTAATTATTAAGGTGTCCCCATGTACAGTACTTGTAGTGCCAGTGGGCTCGTTACTTGTCGATACAGAGCTGCCCGGCGATGTCTTACGTTGAACTCCAGAAAACTCCTATAAGCAGGGGCCGGGGCAGCTTACAAAGAAATCAGCTGCAAGCCGAAAAAGCGCAAAATAGCAGAACAGACTCACCAGAAGCGACACTGGAAGAAGTATAAGAAGTATGGCAACGTCTTGCATGGAAGTGCATCAGCAACGAGAGCCGCATTCCAAGCTACATTCCATCGCTCCAACCAACCTATGCAAGTCCTCCTGAAGCCTAGCGAATTTGCGCGGCAACATGCTGGCATACGGCGAAGCTTTTCTTCATGTAAGCGGTCATTGAAATGAGTTCGCACGCCTGACATGCCCATCACTTCATGGCCGGGACAGCAGGCAGCAGGAGTGGGAGGCACAGCAGCAACAGAAGGAGCCAAGAAGCTTTACAAACTTATTAGGTCTGGAAGCATCTCAGTGTCACGGTCTTTATAAAGTAGACGAAATGGATGATTATTTTTGGGAGCATCAGTTTCAGCGTCCGGAT